AAAGAAATACTTAGCAAAGAGAAGAGAACTTTTCAGTGTGTTGTAATCCTGCACAACTAGAAGAAAATTTGAAAAGCCTGAATAAATGGAAAAATACTGAGCAGAGCTTGAGCACAGGAAATCCCTTCTGCATGCTACAGACAAGTGACTTCAGAGCCTGCTCCCAGCTGGAACATGTGTGTGCTTGTGTGATGGTTAAATGCATCAAATGGAATAAAATCAGGAGTCAGTAAACCTCAGTGATTTGCCCTCACACAGAATATAAAATGGTAGCTATTTCCTCCGTAATAATAGAGAGAGTACAAATATCTTTCTGTGTTAAGTCCTTCATGACAAGTTTTCCTCAGGGAGCAGGTTGATTTGCTGCTTTCCTGAAGTCTTAAATAACCTATAGTGATATTGTTATAGTTGTTGCTATTGTTTTAGTTGTTATTATTTTTTTGAGCTTGCTGATAACTGCCTTTCCCATGTGGCAGCTCAGAGGGCCTTGGGGCATCCAGTCAGTACATCCAGCATGCAGTAAAGCATGGGGCTAATTGCACTCTGGCCCTGCCTGAGAAGGGACATGCTGACCCATGACATGGGGCAGTGCTGAGCCTCCCCACTTCCCACCAGTGGGCAGATCCCAGCAAAAGCAGCACCCAGCCTGTCTGCCCCAGGGTTTGTGGTGCGCTGGGCAACATCACAAGATGTCCCAGGGCACGGGTGGCCACCACGCATGCTGCTGGTGCGTTGTAGTCCTGTGACAGAGGTCGTGTGTGGGAAGTGCTCCCTGATACCTGGGGTAAAACACCCCAGAGATGTGCCCAGCCCAGCTAGTGGCACCTCCCCACCCAGACTGTGTCAGGAGCAGGAGCAGAAGGGCAGGATGGTGGTACAGCTCTCACAAGGGGAATTCAACATGCTGCAATTTAGAATCACACGGTGAAATTGGGGGTGAGGGGAAATAAATAATTGTAGGGATTTGCTGCCCCCTGGCAGGATTTTCTTGCAGCTCTGGTTCCCTGTGAACTGCAAGAGTAGCACTCAGCCATGATGTTCCAGCACAGCAGGGTCTCTGTATTTCCCAGCTGGTTGTAGGCAAAGCAGAGTAAACTGCTGGGCACCACTGGCCCCCTGCAGCCCTCCTGGAAAGCCCATGCTCACCCCAGGCAGGGGCTGGTGTAAGGGACAGAGCTGTTGGGCCGGCAGGAGCCTCCTGTCCCTGCTCTCCATCCCTCTGGGGGAGACGGGGCAGCAAGCAAGCCTCACTCTCTAAAGCTGGTCCTTTGGTCGGTTTTCTCCTCACAAGAGCAAGACTGCCATCTTTCAGCTTCAGCTGTACATCCTTCTAGCAAGAAACTTCAGTTTGGCTACTAATGCTGACAAGCCCTGTGTGCCTTTGCTGAGCATGGCATAGGCTTTCTGACAGATACTCAGCCAATTGGGCTCATTTCCATTACCACCGTTAAAGGTCCATTAATGCTGATATAGCACTTGCGGATATGTTGATAGTGGCTTTGAAAACCTGGGCCTCCTCTTCACTAAACACAAAGTATTGCGAGTCTCATGGGATGAGACTTCTCTGACGAAACACTGAGTTCTGCAGTGTCTACACCGTACTGCACTGGTCCTTCAGACAGCCTGCCTGGTCAGCAGGGAGGAACAAGCACGTCTCGGACACTTCAGAGCACTCTGATATCTCACTCTGTCAGATAACTGTATCCTAAAAGCATCCATGGCTTATTAAGAGTACCTAGGCTGGCTCCCTTGAATGTTGATATTTTTGCTGCAAGTATGTGAAATTGGGCCATGCTAGTCCTACACTAAAATAGCAAAGGAATGGGCAAGAAAAGTACCCCAGGTACATAGCTATGATTGTTTTTCTGTTTTGATATAAAGGAAAGATAGCACAGATGAGCTATTCCTATTAGCATATGTAATAATCTGGCTGCCCATATGAAACTCATGATCCTCACCCCCAGCAGGTCACAATCCCAGGAGAGATAAACAGGTAGGCAAGGACCATTATCATCTCTGATATCTGACTGTACTACTGTATGGTATTTCCTGAGGGTTTTGAATGCAGAGGGGAGCCTGGAATCCGAGGGTGGATAACTTTCTCTCTCTCTCTCTTACATATAACATAAGTATGTAGCTTTTGCTGTATCTGGTTTCTTTTCAACTTAATTGGCAGGGACCTTGTGACTAATGATTCTGCTCATAGCACTGGTCACAGCTCTCAGCATCAAAGTCCACATTGCACAATGCAGTACTGTGTGTAGCTATTGGAACTGGTCTGGATGGCACTAGCTCCATGCGATAGTGCAGCCAGGCTAATAAATAGCTCAGAGTAAGTGTTCATGGATCTGTTTTATTGCTGTCAGGGGTTTTAACTTCTATCCTTTTGTGGTACAGCACGATGACAGTGAAATATGTGTGCTTGTTTAGAGCTATTTGGAATATCTCTGGATGGCACTGAACTAGACAGGTCAGGGATGTTCATGAAGCTGTGAAGATGGTGATAAAAGCCAAGGTCTGATTTTATAGTTACCTTTGTTATTATCGAGGGAGCCTGAAGAATAAGGAACCCATTTCTTCATCAACCTTTGCAACAGCCACAGCCACTAAGACACTTTGAAGCCCACTGAAGTGATGACAACATCCTTGGTGCTTTCAGTAAGACCTGGATTGACGAGAAAAGCAACTGTGGGTGCACTGATTTCTACAGACCTACACTGATTTACTTCAGCTGGGAATCTACCCTTTATTTTTACGTTAGATTGTGCCCACTTTGTTTCTTCAGTGTTAGCTTGGTAGGGGAATCTCCATCTTTTATTGGATATGGGGGGAAACATAGTGACAAAGGATGAGGAAAAGGCTGAGGTACTTAACGCTGCCTTTGCCTCAGTCTTCAATAGGAAGACCAGTTGTTCTCTGGGTACCGAGACCACTGAGCTGGAAGGCAGGGACAGGAAGGAGAATGAAGCCCCATTATCCAAGAGGAAATGGTTAGCAACCTGCTACACCACTTAGACACACACAAGTCTATGGGGCTGGATGGGATTCACCCAAGAGTACTGAAGGAACTGGTGGAAGTGCTTACCAAACCACTCTCCATCATTAGTAAGCAGCCCTGGCAAATCAGGGAGGTCCTAGTGGACTGGAGGCTAGCAAATGTGACACCCATCTACAAGAAGAGCCAAAAGAAGGACCCAGGAAATGACAGGCCTGTCAGTCTGACCCCTCTGACAGGGAATGTTATGGAGTAAATCATCCTGAATGCCATCATGCAGCAGGTACAGGACAATAAAGCAACCAAGCCCAGTCAGCATGGGTTTATGAAAGACAGGTCCTGCTTGACTAACCTGATCTCCTTCTATGACAAGGTGACCCACTTAGTGGATGAGGGAAAGGCTGTGGATGTTGTCTACCTAGATGTTAGCAAAATCCTTGACACCATTTCCCACAGCATTCTCGTGGATGAACTGGCTGCTCATGGCTTGGATAGGTTTGCAAATTAATCTGGAAAAAGCTGGCCATGACATTGACTATTACATCCCAGCTAATGACTTCCGTATATTAGCTGTCATAGACTGGGAACACTGGAGAACTCAGTGGGCCTGCAACTGGGATGGAAAGATGTCTACAGAAAAAAGTCCAGGAAACTCATAATCAAAATGGAAGGGAATATTTCAGCAAATGATGTTGAACATTTAGCTAGACTTTGCTTTGAATAAAGTGCAAAAGCTTTTATGAAGGAAACAATTGCATTAGGAAAGAAAAGCAGACCAAGGGGCCTGTGGGGATGTTGTTTATACCCTAACTGTCACAATTACAGATCAGAACTACACTGGTTCCTGCCCAAAGAATGAAGTTTTGAGGAACAATGAACTTTCCTGGCTCTGGGATAGCAGTGCAGTCACATATCCTTCCATTGGCATTAAGAAATCCATTGGAAACTGTCAAAATATTTTTCATTTTTCTCAGTTTAGGGTGAATGAATCAATAAGGATTTCCTTCATAACATCCCAAGATTATGCTTTTCCCATATTTATATATACTTGACTAGGTTATAGTGCTGAACTTTTATCATTTCTCCCTATGGTAAGTTTTTGCTGGAACAATATGGGCTGCATTTATGCCTTAACTGTTCTTGCAGATGGTGCATCAGGATGGAAAACCTCCTACTTGGGCCAGCTCTTCTGCTTCATGTTAATTGTCCACATGCTTTAAAGAGCTCAATGTTCTGAAGAAAAAATGCAGCCTCAAATACCTTTTTCTTTTTTTTTGCTTTAGTTCATCACTATGCTGTACTCAGACAGGCATTTGAATGGATTAAAAGGATTTCAGCAATTTGATGTAGTATGTAGGAGGTGGTTAATACATTAATCCTCCCTGATGTGCTTTCTTCTGCTCAGGTATGCAATCACTAACTAATCCCCAGATATATGCCCCTTTTATAGAAGGGAACCTGAGGCAGAGAAGTTAGCACCTTGCTCAGTGTTACATTGGAATGGGAAATTGGAAAAAGCAGTCTTTCTGCATGCCTCTATCTTAAAGACATTTAATTTAGTCCCATATCTACCTTGGAGTAGGCAAACGGTACACCAGAACCAAGGAGTACTGCTCACATCAGCTGAACACACACACATACACACACACAAAGGTATTTCCAAGATAAGTGTCTTACCCTAGTCCTTCTTTATGTGATTCTGGACATCCTCACAGAAACTGGATTAAGATAGTAGGTTTCCTGTTAAAAAGCAACATGAAATATCTGTCATATCCCTGGCTTAGTTTTCCCCAGTAGACAGTGACTGACCATCAGGTCTCAATTTCTGTGTTTCAGAGTTTAGCAAGTGAGCTGTATTCACTTTTCAAAGGTTATGTTCAGTCTTTCATCCCAGGTAGAGAGTCTGAAGCTGGCATCTTGTCTGGAAAAGAGCATTAACTCTCTTTCCTATTAGCTCCCAACTACTCCTCTAGCACTGCCATCACCCACTACACTTCCCAATAAGGGCTGCACTTCTCTAGTCTTAGGCATTAAAGGAGGTGGAGGCACCTGCTTTGGTGCTTTTATCCAGCTTGCCCTTCCTTAGCTTTGCAAGGACAGGATAGATGGACATCAATAACTGCTGCAGGCTGTTGTTCATCCCCTTTGCCATTTTATGTCCAGTTTCTGCCTCTTTTCCCCTTCAGGCAACTAATTCCTGTGAAGTTTTTCTGCTTTGATTCTTGATGTGCTGTGGCCCTCAATCTCCCTTAAATCGATGATGGTGTCTAGGGAGTCACTTGCATATCAACAGTCTTTCATCTTCAGTGCTTGTGCCATAGTTATTCACTTGTTGCTGATCCTTAATCTCTGTTCAAATTAAGGATAAACATCCAAGCACCAAATATCCTCTCCTTACAGCCTGTAATATGAGGAAAAGGTACAGTGAAAGACATCTCTGAAACAAATCTAGAAAGAGCATGAAAATTGAAACTGAAGTTCTTAAGATTCACCAAGTGTTGCATTTTCCCTTTCATTTATGATTGCACAGTGCCAACGTTCTCCCTCTATATTGGGTTTGTGTGGCAAGGTTTTGGTAGCAGGGGGCTACAGGGGTAGCTTCTGTGAGAAGCTGCCAGAAGCTTTCCTCATGTCCAACACAGCCAGTGCCAGCTGGCTCCATGAACAGACCCGCCGCTGACCAAGGCTGAGCCCATCAGCCCCCCCGGCCCCGCCGCCCCACATAACCACCCCCGCCGCTGACCAAGGCTGAGCCCATCAGCAATGGTGGTAGCACCTCTGTGATAACGTATTTAATAAGGGGGCGGAGTGGGGGGGAAGTGTAATTGCAGATGGAGAGAGGAGTGAGAACATGTGAGAGAAGCAGCCCTTGCAGACACCAAGGTCAGGAAAGAAGGAGGGGAAGGAGGTGCTCCAGGTGCTGGAGCAGTGACCCTTCTGCAGCCCATGGTGAAGACCATGGTGAGGCAGACTGTCCTCCTGCAGTCCATGGAGGTCCATGGTGGAGCAGATGTCCACCTGCAGCCCGTGGAGGACCCCACGCCAGTGCCAGTGGATGTGTCCACAGAAGGCTGTGACTTCATGGGATGCCCACGCTGGAGCGGGTTTGCTGGCAGGACTTGTGATCCTATGGAGAACCCCCGCTGGAGCAGTGTGTTCCTGAAGGACTGCACACCATGGAAAGGACACTTGCTGAAGCAGTTTGTGAAGGACTGTAGCCCATGGGAAGGATTCATGTTGGAGAAGTTCATGGAGGACTGTCTCCCATAAGAGGGACCCCATACTAAAGCATAGGAGGAGTATGAGGAGGAAGCAGTGTCAGATGTGTGATGAACTGACTACAACCCCCATTCCCTATCCCCATGAGCCACTCAAGGGGAGGAAGTAAAGAAATTTGGAGTAATTTGAGCCTGGGAAGAAGGGAGGGGTGGGGGGGAGGTGTTTTAAGATTTGTCTTTTTTTCTCATTAACCTACTCTCATTTGATTGGTAATAAGTTAAATTAACTCCCCAAATTGAATCTGTTTTGCCCATGATGGTAATTGGTGAATGATCTCTCCCCATTCTTATCTCAACTCACAAGCCTTTCATAATATTTTCTCTCCTCTGTCCAGTTGAGGAAGGGAGTGATAGAGAGGTGTTGGTGAGCACCTGGCATCCAGCCAGCGTCAAACCACCACACTCTCCTGTCACGTGTGCCTATTTACAGTCACTTTTTCTAAGGTTTTTATAAGAAGCTGAATGAGGTCCTCGAGAAAGCAGCAAGAACAATGCATGCCTGTGGAATCACAGCTTTCAAACTGAAAATGGATGGGAAAAACAGCTGAATGACATAGCAGAATGGCTCTCTCCTTCCCCTTATCAGCAAAAACAGAACTGAGGGAATGCTTTGGGGAATTCTCATGTTAAAAAATCCACTTCAATGAAAAGATTTTAGTTGCTTCTAGTAATTGATATCAAATAATTTCAATTAAATTTTGCATTAAAGTAAATTATATCCCAGTGTTCACTTGCTTATTACCAACATCTTAGGCATTATCTAAGTTTGCAACCTATATTTAATAACCTTTGTACTCCAGACAGCAAACATGTAGCTACAATAAAATATAGTTCATAGGGACTAGAATGAAAAGAAAATGTAATCTGAGGGATTATATCAGATACATAACAAATCATTGGATTACTTTATAAAAGCTGAATTAGCCTGATAGTGATGTCTTTACTCTTTTCACTGTAGGATGATCTTATTAACACTTTCAGAGACAGTGTCCTGGGACCTGCAGGCATTGTTATCTGGTGAGATATGAATTTAACTTCTCCAGAGGTAAGTCTATGCCTGATTGAAATAGAATGTTAAGATCCTCATTTTACCCCATCAATAGACACTCTCTGACTGCACCAGTTCTGAGTACTCGATACTAGCAGAGCTGACTGCTTAACCAGTCTTTGCTCTCCCCCATGGAACACAGTCTTTCTGCATCAACAAAGTCTTGTGAGGCTTACAGGCAACCAGTGGTAAGGAAGGAAGCCAATGGCTAATATCAGACGTTCTGGAAGACAGGTCCTCAATGCTATCCATTCCAGCTGGCTAAAACACCAGGAAATCAGCTAGAACCTGATTAGCCCATGAGTCAGACCAGATGAGGTACACCAGTAGTGCCCAGCAATTTGTCTAGTTATGGGAACTCCATTTGTGCCTGTGTGTGGGAAGTAAAATGAAGCAGGCTGTTGAGACCAGATGGAGAGGCTTTGTGTTACGTGATATCAGACCTACCCTCATTAAAATCAAAGACTGATTTTTGAGGCTTCGTCACATCCCGGAGCTTTCAGACAGCCCCACATCAAACTTTGTCATGAGAAAAGACTTTGTCCTTAAAGCTCTGTGAAACGGATGTTCTGGGCTGCTTTTCTCCTGGCAGATAGTCTAGAAAACCCAGCCAGCATGAGAATAAATGGCTGAAAGTAAGTGTTCAGTTGTCTTCAATAAAACCAATTACTTCAGCCATTTTTTGTAAATATTCAGCTGTGGTTTCTGTCAGAGTTAATGGGAATAGGAAGATGAACTTCCTTCCAACTGGGTCAAGTGACAAAGGTAAGTCCCTGGAGCACCTCCATCAGCTCTAGACCCCCACACTCTTGCCACACAGCCACACTGTCATCACCTGAGTTTCTAGCATGCACCACAGCTTCTTTGTAGATCTACAGGCTGTAGTGTTATCTGGGGAGTGCAAGTTGCTAAAGCTCTTTGCACCTCCATTGGGTTATGTTTTTCTGTATAAAATTTCCTAATAATAATTTAAATCAGTCAAATTTAAATTATCTGGAATCAATTCATTAATGCTGCTGACATCTGGCATACTTTTCAGAAAGAGAAAGGAAAAAATGGAGAGGTTAGTTTCACATCTGCTAAAATTTCTTTTCTACCATTTACAGAGCAAGTGCACAAATGTGCAAAAATGTGATTTTCAATAAGGACCCTACATTATCACTGTCACAGCAGCAACTGAGGTGCACAGCAGGCATCTGTGTCAGGGCAATGGATGATGTGTGTGAAGAACCTGGAGAGCGTCGACATATCTATGTTTGAATCCTAAGATCTTCCAGATAGATGCCTCAAGAGGACCAAGGATTTATTGTGAGAGGAGAAGCATCAAATGAAGATCTGGATATAATGGCAGAGACATTTTTCTGCCACTGTTATTAGGGTTATGAAGGAACTGACTGCGGGAAGTTAAAGTTGCTGATGACCATCCAGGAAGCTCTGCAGACACTGTCTCACCCAGATTTGCAGCAATCCGCTTGCTTACTTTGCCTTTGATAGGTCTTTTCTAATCACTGCTTAGTGCTGGTTTCAGTCAATCAAGAGGGATGGTAGAGTGGATCCAACAAAAAGTCTCACATGCTCTGCAGCTGGGGACAGGACATGTCATGGTCCCAGATGTAACTCAAATCCTGCAGCTATGCCCTGTGATGTAATGCTCATAATGCAAAGAAACAGTGGGGCACCTTGAAGGCTGAGTCAAAGACATAGGAATATGTCTTGATCCCATCTTCTGAGATTAGGTGGTTTAGGAGGCTAGGGGCCAGGCTTCTGCCCAGCTGACAGCCATGACTAGGACAGCAGAAGCCTGTTACTAGCAGAAGAAATAGTGCAAGGTTCACTTTTACCCTTTGTAAAGAGAGGAATGGTCTACCGTTATCTATCTTGTACTGGATGGCATACTGGATAGAGCATCCTCCCAGAAAATGGAAGGTGAGGGGGAGGTTTCTCATTCCTTTTCCATTTGAGTGAATTCAAGTCCATGGTTTCCTCTTTCATGTCCTGCATGATGGAGGTGTTAATGCTTTGGCTATTACAGAGATGCGATCAACACATGTTGCTATTACAGAGATGCAATCAACAAGGATCAGGCAAGCCTATCATCTTCAACAAGAAACTTACTCATGTCCCAACTGCCATCGTAATATTCATCCTCTGGAGTAGGTGGAAAGGCTTCCAGGGCTCTCTTTCCAATCAGCAGGGAGAAGAATGCTCTTCTAGAAATGACCATGAGAAGAAAATATACCTGGCACGTCTACAGGGCACTCTGTGAACCTCCAGCTTCTCAGTTTCCTAGGGGCTAAGTATTCTTGAAACAGAATTTACTTGAATGAAACAATTAAAAACCATTTGGTTATTAATAATATACATGAAAAATAATATATATGTCTTTATATTAGACTCTGTGTAGCTGGAAAAAGAATAGACAAATAGCCATAAGACAAATAAGGGACCTACAAGACCTATACTGAGTTCCCTGCTTTTTTTCTATTTGACCCAGAGGAACGTGTGAAGCATACCATCCAGCTCCCACTGGCCTCCGTTACTGCTTTGTGTCCCAGAGCCTTAACGGTCCCGACAGGCTTAGACCTTTGTGATTTCGCACCTCTTAGCAGCTTTTTATTCTTTAAACATTATGCTATTAGCCTCATATCTAACCTCAGTGAATTATTGCTATAATAACTACATTAAATAAATGATTATAAGGTGAACAAACACTATTTTAATAGAGCTCTTGAAGGCAAGTGAGAAAATCTTCCATTATTTTTTTTGACAGAACTCCATTGTAGGAAGAAATATTTTAAATTCCATTTGAGTTAGGGAAGACTATGACTAAACCAGAGCAAATCAATAAGAAATAAATTGAATTTAGAATTATCTTCTTTAAAAGAAAAAATATAAATTATATTCAGGCTATTTCTTTCAAAAAATAAATGAAGGAGATCGACTAAAAATTTTCTAAAGCATATTTTTATATTGAAGAAAACTAGACATATTCTGGTTGAAATGTTTTTTTCAATGGGATGGCTTTCTCTCAGAAAAATGCAGTTTGTTAAAAACGAAGTGCTGATTGTGGTGGATTTTTCAAGGCAAAATTGTAAAAATGATTCATATGACATTCTGCTTGTGCTGCAGGACTGAAGTACATACTAAGGAAACAAAGTATCTCCTAACGTGTTCTTAGTAGCATTGGATTAGCTGTTAGCTTTGACTCTTGCTATCTTTGTTAAGGTCACATCTTACCGCTCTTACTAACTAAACAATGGGAAAGAGAACTGGTATTTTATAAAATCAAATTTTAAACTCTTTGGGGAATGTTTTAAATTAGCAACTGCCTATAATACACTAATGCATCTTATATAAATGTTATGATATTCCTTGGTATCCAAACATGGATCCAGATACACAGGCCCAGATTTCTCTCACACAATATCCACTGAAGTGGGACAATTAAATTAGAAGCTAACTTGTTTGGAGGAGGAGGGCACCTCCTGAGGACCACTTCAGGTGCAGGGGGGTTTAGCAGGTTTTGTGGTAAGTTGCACTTGGGCAGTCACTGTTGGAGACAGCAATTTTGGTCAGAGGCCCTGTATCCCACCCCAGTATCAATCCAGGCATGTGAGCCTTGGCTTGGATCTGGGTCATGTTTCCTCTTTAGGTAGAGGTACAATACCTTTTTATCAAAGCACAAAATAACTCTGTCATACTGCTTCCTTCCACTGAGAGACAGAGGTTTGGGGTTTTTTGAAGTGACTCAATTTTTCAAGTGCTCTCCCACTATTATGCATTCAGAGAAAGACCTCAAAATCCAGGTTATACCGAGAATTGTAGTTCTTAGTTGTTACAGCCCAGTCAGGAAAACAACAAAGCACAGGTCAGTGCAACAGAACTGTTGCTTTTGGATATTTCAGAAGTTTCAGTCTCTCTCTCTCAATGGCATTGGCAGGTCAGATGATTTAGTGAGGTTAAAGTAGCCAAGATCTGCAGTGTGCCAGTGATGACCTGCAGGATGGTACACTGATGAGATACTTCCCAAACCACAGCAGGTTACGCCCACAACAGAGTACCCCACATGCAGAGCCTGTTCTCAAGGAAAAAGATGAAGCAAATGCTCCCTCTGACTCCTCTCCTCTTGAGGCTGGAGTTTCAGTCAATGTGAGATGTTTCTCGTGGTTTAACCCAGAAGAGAAATAAATACTATGCAGCTGCTTGCTTACCCTCCCTCTGCCCCAGGGAATGGGGGAGAGGATTGGAGGGTAAGGAAACTCAAATGTTGAGATAAAAACAATTTAATAATTGAAAGAAAATGAAATAATAATTATAATAGCAACTAAAATAATATTAGAAATAGTAATAATAGTAGTAGTAATAATAATAATATACAAATGGATGAAGCGCAATGCAATTGCTCACCACTCACTGACCAAGGTCCAGCTAGCAATCCCAGAGGAGGGGAAAGATCCCAAAACCACAATCCCAGAAGAACAAGAGAAAGCTTTCCAGCCAACCCTTATTTATATACTGAACATAATATGGAATATCCCATCGGCCAATTCAGGTCTGTTGCTCTTGCTGTGTTCCTATCCAGCTTGCTCAAGTCCTTCTAGCTAGTTCCACACTAGCGAAGCAAGGTAAATTGGAAAGTCCTTGATTTATTAGCAACAACCAAAACCAGCAGTATATTATCAACATTCTTCTCATACCAATTCCCATACTAAATCCAAACCACAGCACTATTCTAGCTACTAAGAAAACTAGCTCAATCCCAGCCAAAATCAGGACACTGGTATAAATTCCTGTCAGCTGCGTGTGTAAGATCAAACCACCTCTCTTCTGTTCTCCTGTGAGAAGCATTTCTCACTTCCAGTTTTATAACTTCTTAGATTTCTGTTTTCCTCTCTTCATGTTTCCTGTTGGCTATGTTTCATGATCCTTGACTGTTGTACTCGTATTTGCAAATTTCTTTCCCGGGATCTAACTGTTTTAGAGCATCCTGTAAAGAATCAGACTGCATAAACTTCAGACTGTGGGTTCCTCTCTGGCATCCATACCAGATTTAGACATGGCAAAACTGAGCATTGTGGCGACTAAATTGTTTTATGGATTTCAGTAGGAGCTAGGCACCTGAACAGGCCTGAAAACCCATGCCTGGGCTCTCAGCAGCTGCATGGTTTAAAACTATCACATATAATATGTAGAACATAATGCAGCATGTCATAATAAAACTGATGGAAAAAATTATTCTAGCTGTATGCTTTTTCCTTGCAAAGGGTTAGAGATCAATTTATGTTATTATAGCTACTAAATGGTAGTGATAAAATTAACTAATCTCTATGAATTCATAAGAATGGATGCTTTTAAGTATAATAAACATACTTTATCTTATTATAGTACAATGGATGCTTTTAAGTATAATAAACATACTTTTATTATAGTACGAATTCTGATTCTTCTTTTCATGGTTTGTGAGGCTAAACATGTCTTAGTAATATCGTGTGAAAATAATACTATATGAAACTAAAAATCAGAGGACAGATGGTCAGCACAGGGATATTGTAGTCAGTGATTTTGATGGTCTGACCCAAAGCCACATGAAGTCAACATGAAGCTTCCCTTGCATCAAGCTGGGACGCCTCTGAGGGAATTACATCACAAGGGTCTTGAGACCTTGATGGGTGCCTCTTCCACGCACATTCCTAAAATAGATCAGAAGGCATGCTTTACAAGCAAAAACATTTTTTAAGAAGCTACTAAGCATTTAGATAACCAAAAAAATATCCTATGTGATTTGGCATTTAACAATATTTATTAGTATTAAGTACGAGAATAACTTTAAATGTTCTTGCACCTAGCCAAAAGTTTAACAAAGTCAGCTAAAAATCCACATGTATCTCACTAATAGTTGAAACTGTGTACAAATTTCAGTACATCTAGTCTTTTAGCAGAGGCAACCAAGATTATTGAAATGGTTTTGTAGCTGTAAATGAGAACAGGACATAAGGAAAACTGCTCTGACATTATTGCCTGATGATTACCCTCCTAGGTTCTTTCATGAGTCAGTTTGAAATGGGAAATCAGACACTAATTATTAATTTCAGGTACTTTGGAACCTCCATTTGTAGTATTCTCAGATATCAACATGCTGTACCACATTTACCACTGTCTCTACATTGATAAAGATATCTTCAGGTTTTGCTTCTATTTACTGTCATCCTGGCAAAGGACAGATGTTTTAAACTGGCACCTGGTTGCAGTCATACGGTGGAGCAGCTATAAAATTCATGGCCTTGTTCCTTTATCGAGATCCAATCAGACAAACCCCATCTGCCTGTGTAGCCAGTTAGGAGGTACAGATCCAAGTGGCAGCAAGTTTAAGTTAGTGTTTCAAATTAAATTGGAAATTCTGATCTGATGTAGGCAGCCCTTGTCTCAAGCATCCTAACTCTCTTCCTCCTGTTAGCCTGGAGGCAGCTGAAGGGTAATGCTGCACCTCCTTG